GCTCCCAGTTCCAGGATTTGAACTGCGGTCAACCAATTGGGAGTCCAGCACTTTCACCACCACACCACCTTGCTGGCCCTGCAAACCAATGTTTTTTTGAACTTGAGCACTTCAGTCAATGACTCCTTTTGGGGAGTGATTTAGGAATAAGGAGCTTCGTCAGAGGATTTGCACAGCCTGAGCTAGAGAATTTCCCATCTTGCTAACTTGCTATTCCTGTTACGCGGATACACGCGGTCTTCTCTTGTGGCCTCTCCACTCTGCGCTCACCCCGCAGAACTCGCTGCCAATGAGAGGTCTCGTCGCATGACCCTCTGTGTGCATACTGCCTGATGGCACACCACCACCCGGGGCCTCTCTGCTCGGTGTTTGCTCCTCTGTCCTCTTCTGGCCTCACACCTCAACTCTGCCTCAGCAGTCTTACTCTCAGCCTTTGACTTCATCCATGCCTACTGTCCCTGAGACGGATAAGGCATCTGACCAGAGCTCAGCAGCGCCCCCTGTCTACTCACCTACAGTGTCTAAACCCCTGTTCTCGCCTGAGACCCCAGCGTACTTGGTCTGCTCCCACCTAATGCCAAGTTTCTCCTCTCACCCCCAGCGCCCCTTCATGGATTCTTGCCCCAGAGTATCTCCCCCTCTATCCTCCAACTCCGCATACTTTTGCTTTTTAAAAAATCATTCCCATCTGTCCCCTTTTGCTGGGTCTTCCTCCTTCTCCTCCTTAGTCCTCTCCTTCCCTTTCTGTCAGGTCTGGCTAGGTGGCCAGGCAGGCTTAGAATTCACAATCTTCCTGGCTAAGTTTTCTGAGTAGGTGGGATGACTGGTGCCCTGCCCTCTTCATAGACCCAGTGGCTGGCCCCTGGACCTTTTGTCTTTTTCCTTCCTGTATATGCGGGGACTTCAAAAAGTTCATGGAGAATGAAATTAAAGTATGCATTTATTTTGGTGAAACAGTAACATCCACACAGTTTTATATAATACGCGTGTCCTGTGAACGTTTTGGAGACCCCCGCCCCCATATGCACTCGCTCCCTTGGCTGTTATCCAGTGTCACGGCTCTCAATGATACATGGCATGTGGACAGGTCCCCATAGTTATGGCTCCAGCCAGCCTCCCTCCTGCATTGCACAGAACCCCCATGGGTGTCCACGGGCCCCTCGCATTCCCTATCTCTGGATCCCCCTCGTGTGGTAAAGCTCCGTTCTTTCACTTGCTCAGGCTAAAGTCTTTGCAAACTCATCTGAGACCTTTCTTGACCTCAAACCCTTTGCATAAACAACCCAGAAATACTGTTGTCTCTGACTCCGCCCCCCCACCTCAAGTTACCTGGTATCTGACAACCTCTCAGTGCCTCTGTCTCTACCACCTACCGCCCTCATCGGACACTGCAATGGCCTCCTAGCTGGTCCCTTTGCTCTGCCCTGCTTTCCCGCTCAGCCCGTTCCCGGCAGAGACCAGACAGATCAGCTCATGGGGCTCCTCCACCTCACACCCTGGAAGAATCAGGCACGCACCTTGCAATGGCCCCTCCCGGGCCCTTGCTGGCCCTTGCTCCTCTCCCCCTGCTCGTCTTCCTCCTCCACGCTGCCCTCCTCATTCTTCCTTGAACATTCCTGCCTGGGCACTGCATGTTCTGTCTTTGCCCTCTGCCTTTGGCTAGTGTAGCTTTAACTTGCTCACTTCCTTCAAGTCTGTGATTGCACGTCGAAGGCTTGAGGCCCTTGGTCTCATGAGTTAGTGCAACCTGCCCTCTTCACATGCTCCCTTTCCAGTAGCTCCTGTTCCTCTTCCTGATGTGTTCAAGTTTTTCCTTCATCCTCCTACTAATGTCCACACAAAGCATTGTATAAATTATTATTGTTAGTCTAGGGCATGTGTGCTCCCTGAAAACAGAGACAGAGAGTGGGGATGAGAAAGCATCCCCTAAGGGGATGGCCACATTGCAATCCCTTCTCCTTTTGAGATTTTGGACACACACACACACACACACACACACATATATACACATATATACACATATACATACACAACTGGCATGATTTTCAAGCTGCTGGGTCCAGGACACAAACCGCGCAGTGAGCCATGTGGAATCCAGCCACTTTAACCTCCACACCACCTGCTGGACCTATAAACTATTTCTCAACTTTATTTTTGTCCCTGGAATGTGAATTTTTCAATGGAAGGTCCTTTTCTTTTTAGAATTTTTTTTAAACTTCCTTCATTATTAATTTGATATAGGGCATGTGTGCCTACCAGAGAGAGACAGAGAAAGAGAAGAAGTGAGAAAGCAAGCCTCCAGGTTTGGGACTTGAACCATACTCAGCCACACGGGAGTTCACCATACTACGTGCTGACCCTAGAAGGTCCCCTTCTTTATGCCCTGATAGCTTCATGTAGATGAAAAATGAACACAGAGAGAATGCTACTCATGGTTTCTGTTTCTGAAAACATCCAGACCCCACAGCCTCCTCAGATCCAGCCTGGACCTCAGCCTCTGCAACCTGGGCAACCTCAAGGAGCAGAAGGACCCGCTCAGCCTCAAGGTGAAAGGAGGGGCACGTGATGTGTAATGTGTGAAGGTCCATGACGGCCATAGAAAGTTCTAGACAGAGAGCATCTCTGTATCCCCATGACGTCAGGCGGGATGGGAAGCACATGCAGCTTGCAACTACCCCACTTCCTGCGGTGGATTATCTAGCTGGCAGTGTCTTACCTGCTTTGTTGTCCGAAGCTTATGGAAAAGAAATGGAGATGCAGTTCATTGGCCAATGCAACATAATTACTGTTCAAGTTTAGATAGTATGTTTGTATAAGATAGATCTCGGTTAACCCGGAATCCTAGGGATCTGTTTTCTTGGCTCCTTAGTCTCCCGACCGCGTCAGCATTTACCTCCATTGCATCCTCCTCGCAGTATCAGGTTAACTTTGTCACGCAGACAGGCACGTGGACTCCAATGATGGCAGTTCCCAAGTTTAATTTCTATTAAGTCCAAGTAGGAAAGGATTGTACTCCATGATTACTACATTCTAAGATTCAACTGGATTTCACATTGATTCCTTTTTTTTAATAGAATTATTTTATTTAACATTTTTTTAAAGAATTATTTTATTTAACTTTATTTTCATTTGACCAGAGAAGGATAGAGAGAGAGGGAGAAAGCAAGTCACCAGGTCCAGGACTTGAACCGTGGTCGGCCATGTGGGAGTCCAGCATCTTTTAACCACCATGCCACCTGCCGGCCCCAGGATTTCACATTGATTTGTAGTCATCGTTTGTATGACAGGGCCGTCTCTCAGTGAAAAGCAGCACATTAAACTTCTGTGAAACTTCAGACCTCACTCCCCACTTTGCTTCTTATAGCAAAGTAGCTTGTGATGGGTCAAAGCTTTAAACATAATAAGAATCATAATAATAAGGGAGCCAACAGGTGGCATGGTGGTTAAGGTGCTGGACTTCCACATGACTGACCGTGGTTCAAGTCCTGGACCTGGTGGCTTGCTTTCTCACTTCACCCCCCAACCCCATCTCTTTCTCTGGTATGTGCCTGTGCCCGGCAACACATTTAAACATAATAGAAATAAAATTAAATCATTCTTTAATACAAATGTAGGCAATTTTTTTTTTTTTAAGTTTTGCTATAGGATGTATGTACCTTGCTAGAGAAATGGAGAGAGAGAGGGAAAGTGAAAAATCGCCTCAGGAGACTTCCAGGCCACAATCCCTTCTCCAGTCTCCTCTTGGGGTTTTTGGGCATGCACATATGCACCCGGCATAACTTTCAAGCCCCCCCCCCACTGTGTGTGGAGGGATGATTTCTCCTTCTCTTCTCTGTTTCTCTGTCTCTCTCCAGTGAGTGTATGCACCCTATGGGAAAAACCTAAAAAAATTAAATAGTTTTTTTTTGTTATAGAACGCCAGACTTTGTAAGGTCATCATGAACTAGGAATGAGAGCTTCCAGACGTAATACTTTGAGACAAACCATTTTTGTAACCCAAGGCGGGAACTGCCCCAGTCATTCGGAGATACGGAGTTGACACATGTGAGCACGTCTTCTTTATTTCACAGTGTACTTCTCCCTGACAGACTGCTTTGCGCTGTCCCTCAAATACTGGCTGTGGAATAAATGCTTAAGTCTATTCGGATCTGGGAATGCAGTACAAATGGCACGATCCTTTTTCTTGATTAAGAGATTTTTGTTTTAGGGTGTGTGCACTTGCCAGAGAGACAGAAAGGGAGAGATCACCCTTCCCACCTGCCCCCTGGGGGTGATGGCCACACCACAATCCCTTCTCCTTCATTCTTTTCTTGGGATTTGGGGGACACATACACACGTGCCTGGCATGAGTCTCAATCTACCAGGTCTGGGGCCCCAACCATGGTCAGCCAAGTGGGAGTCCAGTGCCTTAACCAAAATACCACCTGCTGGCCCCGCGACCCTTTCATAGTAGAAAGACTAGTTCTGTATCAAAATCGTGGATTTTTTTTTAAAGAATCATTTATGTTATTAATTTGACCAGACAGGGGGAAAAGAAAGGGAAAGTGAGAAAGCAAGCTGCCAGGTCTGGGCCTCTAAACCATGGTTGACCATGTGGGCGTCCAAGCACCTTAACCACCGCACCACTTACCAGCCCCCAAATCACGGATATTTACAGATCTGTCATTGCGCTGGCATTTTCTGACACCCACTAGGGGGCAGTGTGGTGCCAGGCACTGAATTAAACAAAGATGGAGAATCTTAAACTGTGACAGCTCCCTGACAAAACGGGACAGATAGCTTATACAAAAAGCCAAGGTATCCCCTGATGTGGACAGGGGACTGGTTGGAAAAGGCTCCTGAGTAACATTTCTCTGTTCTGGCAACTCAGCCCGGAAATAATACTTGGATCTTTTGATGTCATCTTGGTTACTTCAAACAACTTCGAATGTCTTACTGAAGAGAGTTGGGCGTTAATGCTGCCCGTTCTAATTCTGTTTCCCGTGTTACTGTATCCATTCATGGCTTTACACTCTTCATACACAGAACTTCAGCTCTCTGCTGGATTGCGGGCAGTATCGCTGAAGGCGAGAGAGAGTGGAGTTTTTCAAGACCTCGTGGTGAACACAAGGCAGAAAATGACTCATGTCCAAGAGACAAAAACAGGTACACTGGCCTCTAAGAGTTTGATTTTTATGGAGTTCATTTTAAATTTGATAAGATCTTGGGGATGGCAGGGGCCTTGGTGGTTAAGGTGCCACGTGGCCAAATGCAGTTCAAGTCCCAGACCTGGCAGCTTCCTTTCTCACTTTCCCTTTCTCTCTGTCTAGTCAAATAAAATAAACATAATAATAATAATTATAATAATAACAAATAAATGTAAATGAATAATTCTTTTTTTTTTTTTTGAGAGGTTTTCGCTATAGGGCACGTGCGCTCACCAGACAGACAGAGAGAGACATAGAGACAGAAAGCGAGAAATCACCCCCCAGGGGGGATGGTCACGCCGCAATCCCTTCTCCTCTGTTCTCCTCTCGGGATCTTGGGCACGCACGCACATGCGTCCAGCGTGAGTTTTAAGCCACCGGGTTCGGGACGCGAACTGTGGTCGACTACGTGGGAGTCCAGCGACATAGCCATTACGCTAACTGCTGGTTCCCAATGAATAATTCTTTATTTTGCAGAAATGCCAATTTGTGGTAGAATCTTGGACAGACTCTCAAGTCTGTCTTTTCCTTTTTAAAATTTTTTACTTACTTAAATGTTATTATTACTATTTTTAAATTTGCTATAGAGCATATGCACTCACCAGAGACAGAGCAATAAGAGAGAGAGAAAGGGAGAAAGAAAGCCACCAGGTCCGGGACTTCAACTTCGCCATGTGGGAGTCCAGCACTTCAGCCACCATGCCACCCACTGGTCCCCTGTCTTTTCCTTTTATAGCTTTGAAAAGACAATGGTTACTAGACCAGCAGGTGGCGTGCTGGTTAAGGGTGCTGGAGTCCCACATGCCTGACCGCAGTTCGAGTCCCGAACCCAGCAGTTTGCAACTCAGGACAGGCACGTGTGCCCAAAATCCTAGGAGGAGAATGGAAGGGAAGGGATTGTGGAGTGGCCATCCCCCCAGGGGGTGATTTCTCACTCTTCCTCTATCCCCCTCTCTCTGGCGAGCTCACGCATCCTATGACAAAATCCTTAAAAAGAAAAGGAAAGAAAATAGTTTAAGACCAGCAGTAGCATGGTGTTTAAGGTGCTGGATTCCCACATGGCCCACCACAGTTCAGGTCCCAGTCTTGGCACTTTGAAAATCACACCAAGCACGTGTGCATGCATACTGAAAATCCTGACAGGAAAGTGGAAGAAATGGGACTATGGTGTGGCCACCCCTCTTGAGGGTGATTTCTCATTTTTCCCTCTCTGTCTCTCTCTGGCAAGCATACACACCCTATGGCAAAAACAAAAAGAAGGAAAATAGAATGCTTCAGTTCTTTGGTTGCCCTGAGACTTTGTTGTAATTTAATTTTCTAATATACCATGCTTTTGCCCCTTTTGGAAGCTACAAACGTTTTTAAAATTTTTTTAATCTACTTTCACTGTAAATACTTCTTATAGGATTCTTTTTTTGATATTATTTATTATTATTATCATTCAGTTTGATCAGAGAAAGACAGAGAGAAAGAGAGGAAGAGTGAGAAAGCAAGTTGCCAGGTCTGGGACTCGAACCACGGTAAGCCATGTGGGAGTCCAGTGCCCCAAATACCACATCACCTGACAGCCCTCACTGTTAAATAGTTTAATCTTTTTTTTTTTTCTTTTTCCTTTTCTTTTTCTTTTAAGTTTGCCAGAGGGTGTGTGTGGGTGCCAGGGAGAAACAGACAAGGAGAGAGAGAAAGTAGCCCCCAGTGGGACGAGGTCACTTCTCCGTCTCTCTTTTCTTTGGGGATTTTGAATACAAAGAGAGACAGAAAGCAAGAAATCATCCCTCAGGGGGGATGTCCCTTCTCCTCCATTCTCTTGTCGTGGATCTTGGGCACACACACACACACAAACACACACACGTACCCAGAGTGAGTTTGAAGCCACCAGGTCCAGGCCTTGAACTGTGGTCGGTCATGTGGGAGGCTAGTGATGTAACCATTACGCCCTCTGCTGGCCCCAATATATACCTTTTATATTTCTCAAGTCGTAAGTCTGGGACTCAAAGTGCCCGGTCAGCCTTATGGAATCCAGTTCCCTTAACTGCCAAGCCATAGAATGGCCCAGTCTTACTGTATTTCAAGTTTCTAACTTCATGCTTGCATAAGAGTTTGTTTAAATCAATAATTAGCCATTCTGGATGTCGGGCATTTGCAAAGGTTTGTTATTTATTGCTTGGCTCTTTTTCTTGCCCTAACTCCGACACTTGTTGTGGTGTCCAGACTTTGGGGTCCAGTCAGTCACTTAGTTTTTTTTGTTTTTTTTTTTTTGTTAAATAGTATTTTTTTAAAAGAATTATTTTATTTGACTTTATTTTTTATATTTGGCCAGAGAGGGACAGAGTGAGAGAGAAAGTGAGAAAGTAAGCTGCCAGGTCCAGGACTCGAATCACAGTCGACCATGTGGGAGTCCAGCACCCTTAACCACCATGCCACCTACCGGCCCTGTGTCACTTAGTTTTATTATTTTTTATTTTATTTATTTATTTTTTTGAAGAGGTTTTTGCTATAGGACGTGTGCACTCACCAGAAAGACAGAGACAGAGAGACAGAAAGCGAGAAATCATCCCCCAGGGGGGATGGTCACGCCGCAATCCCTTCTCCTCCATTCTCCTCTCGGGATCTTGGGCACGCACGCACACGCTCCTGGCGTGAATTATAAGCCACCGGGTCCGGGACGCGAACCATGGTCAACTACGTGGGAGTCCAGCGACATAGCCATTATGCTAACTGCTGGTTCCCACTTGGTTTTATCATTGACAAGTGGCTTCTTCTTTCAGGAAAAGCAGGTGACACAGTAAATATATTCACCAACCATTTCCGACTGACATCTTGTCCCCAGTGGGTCGCATATAAGTACAACGTTGACTATAAACCAGACGTGGAAGATGGAAATCTGCGAGCAAGTCTGCTTTTCCAGCATGAATCAGAATTAGGGAAGTGCCACATATTCGATGGGAACTCTTTATTATTACCTCAAAGACTATCAAAGTCAGTAAGTAATGTTGATATTTGTTTTTCTTTGTTCTCTTTCTCTCGTATTTTCACTTTATTATTTGTCACAAGACTTCCACTGTGTCTGTGCAACAGTTTGTAGAGACATCCTGAGGCTCTCTTACCCATGGAACTTGTAACAAAACTTATGTGCCTAGGCCAGCAGATGGAATGGAGGTTAAGGTGCTGAATCTGACATGGCCCGACTCCGTGGCTTGAGTCCCAGATCCGGTGGCTAGAAAATCACACCAGGCCCCTGTGTGTGTGTGCCCAAAATCCCACGAGGAGACTGGAAAAGGGATTGCACTACGGCTATCCCCCATGGGGATGCTTTCTCACTTTCCCCTCTTTCTATTTTTTTTTTAAAGAATTATTTTACTTAACTTTATCATTATTTTTGAACTTGATGAGAGAGAAAGAGAGAGAGAGGGAAAGTGAGAAAGCAAGCCACCAGGTCCAGGACTCGAACCGTGGTTGGCCATGTGGGAGTCCAGTGCCTCTAACTGCCATGCCACCTGCCTGTCCTATCCCCCTCTTTCTATATCTCTGATGAGCATATGCACTCTATAGTAAAAACTAAAAAAAAAGAAAAAAGAAAAAAAAGTTGCTTTTGATTATTATTGATATTTGATAATCTTTTGTTTATAGTGCTTAAATGGAATTTTATAGCAGAATATGACTCAAAAAGACTCATAACAAAATTTCAAATAATTTATTTCTTCCTATTTTCTCTAAAACTTTGCAAAAAAAAGGCCTTATTATCTATAAATTTCAACATTATTAACCAAAGATATACTGTATGAGAATTAAAGTACAAAATTATTTCACTACACATATTTAATTCTGACTCTTCATTTCTATCTTATGAATCATATATATTTTTAAAGGTTTTTGCCAGAGGGTACATGGGCTCGCCAGAGAGAGAGCTAGAAACAGTGAAAGGGAAAGTGAGAAATCACTGCTCAGGGGGGATGGTCACACTGCAATCCCTTCTCCAATATCCTCCTGGGATTTGGGGCACTCACGCACACGTACCTGGTGTGATTTTCAAGCCGCCATGTCCGGGACTCGAACTGCAGTTGGCCATGTGGGGGTCCATCACCATAGGCACCATACAACCTGCTGGGCCTATAAATCATGTGGTTGACATGCACATACCTTTGAGAGAAAGGCTGGTCTGCCATTGGGGGTATGTTGGAGAACCAAGTGACAGGTTGATGTGTCACTAGGGAGCTTAGTTTTCTTAGAAGGACACCTGGGGTTTTTTTTTGGTTTTCTTTATCTCAGAAAATGGAAGTGGTCAGTCAGACCAGTGACAAGACGTCTGTGAAGATTACACTGGAGCTTTCCAAAGAACTCACGCCCGCCTCGCCAGAATGCCTTCGCTATTACAACATCCTGTTCAGAAGGTACCTGAGACTCAGTTTCAGCATCCAGTTGTGTTTCACTGTGTGTCAGAGATGTGGAACATAGCCTTTTGCTTCTGGCGTTTAGTGGTCCTTATGGTCCCTATGTATGGAGAGTCACAGGCCTTCGAAATGACGTGGTACCGGAGCCTCACTAGAACGTGCAAGTTCAGTGTCATTCCCAGCACTGCTCTCCCTGTTCACCCCTACTTTTCACGTCTGGCGTCTATCCCACAGGGGGAATAGACATCAGCTGTGTGTACACATGCATGTTCCGCTGTGGAACAATGACACCTGTTTTCCAGTGTAGGAGCCAGCAGACGGTGTAGTGGTTATGTCGCTAGACTCCCACATGGCTGGCCACAGTTCGAGTCCAGGACCCAGTGGCTTGAAACACACTGGGCATATGTGTGTGCGTGCCCAAGATCCCAAGAGGAGAATGGAGAAGGGAATGTGGCATGGCCATACCTTGGGGTGTGATTTCTCACTTTCCCTTTCACTGTCTCTGTCCCTCTCTCTGTCTGGTCAGCACACATGGCCGATGACAAAAAAAAAAACCTTAAAAAGAAAAGAAAGAATAAGAAAAAAAAAATGGGGGATGCGTAGTTTATAAAAGTTTAGTTCTGGGAATGAAGGGCATTCTGATAGCCATTCCCCAACATTTTATTTGACATGATGAGAAAAAGAGAAATTGAAGTTAAATGAAAATGAGTATTCATCTAATAACGTCGATTTACCTATCAGGCACTGTGTGTGCTAATTGATAGTATAAGCAAAGTCGTTGACATCATTGTCCTACTACATCTTTATGTGTGTTTCCAAATGCTTAGTAATATGTATGTGCTCTCAACAAAACCTTTTCTTCTGATTCCTAGAGTTTTGAGGTTGATGGATCTGAAGCAAGTTGGTCGCAACTATTACAACAACAAGGAGGCGATTGAGTTCCACAAACATAAGTTTGTATCAAGTGAAAAATTTCACGTTCTTGCAGACTTAATCACAGAATTTCTGAGAAAGTTATAATCATTTGAAATTTTATGATTTAAACATCATGGCCCTTTAAATGATACCCACTGACCACAAGCAATTAAGATTTTTGATTTAATGTAAATTTTAAATTAGGTAAAAAGACCCACCTTAAAAATCTTTTTTTTAAGAATTATTTTATTTCACTTTATTTTTTTTTGCTTATTTTAATTTGACCAGAGAGGGATAGAGTGAGAGAGAAAGGGAAAGTGAGAAAGCAAGCTGCAGGATCCAGGACTTGAACCAAGGTGGACCATGTGGGAGAGTCCAGCACCCTTAACCACCATGCCACCTGCTGGCCCCAAAAATCTTTATATTTTTTAAGAGAAATTTTTGCTATAAGGCACGTGAACTCCCTGGAGAGAGAGAGAGAAACAGACAAAGCGAGAAATCACCTCCCTGGGGGGTGTGTGGGGGAACATACCACAAACCCTTCTCCTCCATCCTCCTCTCAGGATTTTGGGCATACACACACACACACGTGCCTAGCATGAATTTCAAGCCGCCGGGTCCGGGACTCGAACCTCAGTCAGCCATGTGGGAGTCCAGTGACATGACCATTACGCCGCCTACTGGTCCCATCCACCTTTAAAAAATCTTAGTATAGAAGCCAGCAGGTGGCGTAGTGGCTAAGGAGCTGGACTCCCACGTGGTGAACCGTATTTTGAGTCCTCAACCGAGCAACTTGAAACTCACCCTGAGCGCATGTGTGTGCATGCCCAAAATCTTGAGAGGAGAATTAAAAAGGGATTGCAGCCTGCCACCTCCCCAAGAGGTGATTTCTCACTTTCTGTTCCTCTGGCAGCACACACACCCTATAGCAAACAAAACAAACCTTAGCATAATAAGCATAAACCTTAAAATATTCAATTGCTTCATAAACCTCTTAAGAGACCTAAATAACCCTCTGAAACTTGGATAATAAATTTCTTTCTGGGGACCAGCAGTTAACATAATGGCTATGTTGCTGGAGGCCCAGGCCCGGACCCGGTGGCTTAAATTCACTCCGGGCGCGTGTGTGTGCGTGCCCAAGATCCCGAGAGGAGAATGGAGGGGAAGGGATTGTGGCGTGGCCATCCCCCCTGGGGGGTGATTTCTCGCTTTCTATCTCTCTGTCTCTCTTTGTCTGTTTGGCGAGCGCACACGCCCTATAGCAAAAACCTCTCCAAAAAAAGAAAAAAAAAATTTCTTTCTAAAGAGATTTTTACCATACCAGGGTAATGTATGTACACACTCAATTTCAGTGTGTACATACATTACTTAGAAGTATACACATTACTTATAGATCTATAATATAAGTAACGTTTAGTTATATCTACAATACATAGAAAAACAGGAGATTTTAAGCCTCAGATGATATAAAATGGTTTAGCAAAGGTGATAAGATGATGCTTATGAGTACACATTTGGTATATCTTTAGTTGAAGTTCCTTCAAAAGATCAGTTATCACTAAAAAGGAGTTAAAATGGATTGACTCTGGCAGCAGGTGGCATAGAAGTTAAGGTGTCTGGCTCTTACATGGACAACTTTGCAGTTCAAGTCTCAGACCCAGTGGCTTAAAGAACATGCTGGACACCTGCCTAGAATCCTGAGAGGAAGATAAAGAAGAGATTGTGATATGGCCATGCCCCCTGGGGAGTGATTTCTTACTCCCCCACCCCCCTGCAAGCGCACATTCCCAACAGCAAACTAAAAAATAAACAAACAAACAAAAATTGATTGACTTCTAAGTGTCAGCTTTAAACTGAGAGCTCAGGCTCTGAGACTTTTGGCTCTGTGTTGAGACCTTGAACCGAACAACTTCATGTAACTTACTCTCTCTGCAGTTTGGAAATCTGGCCTGGTTACATCACTTCTATTCTTCAGTATGAAAACAGCATTACCCTCTGTGCCGACGTGAGCCATAAACTTCTCCGAAAGGAAACTGCATATGATTTGATAAAGAGCCTAACAGGGTCATTCAGAGCTATAGAGCTAATAACTGAGAAATTAGTTGGACTAATTGTTCTTACAAGGTGAGTCTGGTTTTTGTTTGTTTGTTTGTTTGTTTGTTTTTGAGAGGTTTTTGCTATAGGGTGCATGCGCTCGCCAGAATGACAGAGAGAGAAAGAGAGATAGAAAGTGAGAAATCACCCTCCAGGGGGGATGGCCATGCCTCAATCCCTTCTCTTTCACTCTCCTTTCGGGATCTTGGGCACACACTCCTGGCATAAGTTTAAGCCACCAGATCCGGGACTCGAACAGTGGTCGACTACATGGGAGTCCAACAACATAGACATTACGCCATTTCTGGTCCCGGTAAGTCTGCTTTTTAAAAACCTATCAGATCAGGGATCAGCAGGTGGCATAGTGGTTGAAGCACTGGACTCCTACCTGGCCAACCATGGTTTGGGCCTCAGACCTGGCAGCTTGCTTTCTCATTTTCTCACTCTGTGTGTGTGTGTGTGTGTGTGTGTCTATGTCTATGTGTGCATCTCTGGTTTCTCTCTCTCTCTCGCTCTCTGTGTCTCTCTGGTGAGCACATGTGCCCTATAGTAAATTTTACACAATGTTAATACTAAATAAAAGTAAATAATCCTAAAAAACAACCTCTCAGATGATTTTGATAACTTTTTTTTTTCTCTTCCACAAGAGGTATGACCATAGTTTTCTATTAAATCCAAAAGGTTAGGAGTAGAATGTTGTAACAATGGGAAGAATCATTCAATGCTCTTCTTATCTGAGAATATGACTTGGGAGAGGGGTATGTGTCAGCTATAGGCTTGGCTATCCTTGCAGAATTCATCTGCTCTTTTCTGTTGCTTGCACAGAATAGAGTAAGTTCCTTTTATAATTTCTTCTTTCCTTTCCTTCTCTTTGTTGCAGGTGTCAAGTTATTTTAAAAATCAAGGGAACCAGCAGTTAGCGTAATGGCTATGTCGCTGGACTCCCACATAGTCGACCGTGGTTCGTGTCCCGGACCCGGTGGCTTAAAACTCACGCCGGGCGCGTGTGCATGCGTGCCCAAGATCCCGAGAGGAGAATGGAGGAGAAGGGATTGCGGCGTGACCATCCCCTCTGGGGGGTGATTTCTCGCTTTCTGTCTCTATGTCTCTCTCTCTCTGTCTGGCGAGCGCACGCGCCCTATAGCGAAAACCTCTAAAAAAAAAATAAATACTTAATTGTAATCCATCAGCATCTTTCTGTTCATAAGAATTTTTAAAATTTTAATGTCTGTTTTGTTTTGTTTTTGTCATAGGGCATGTACACTCACCAGAAAGAACCAGAGATAGAGAAAGTGAGAAATCACCTCCCAAAGGGAATGGCCATGCTACAATCCTGTCTTCTCCAGCTTCTTCCGATTTTAGGCATGCACACACATACATGTGTGTGAATTTAAGACAGGTCTGGGACTTGAACCATGGTTAGTTATGTGGGAGTCCATTGCCTTGACCACCATACCACCTGTTGGTCCCTGAAAGTTTTTATTTTTAATCTCCCTTCTTACCATAAATCTTAAACCGATCAGAAGATAGATTAAGCAACTAGTTACTTAACCACAAGAACTTGGAAAGGACAAGATGGAGGACTCACACTTTCCAAATTTGCTTTAAAACTTCAGTAATTAAAACAGTGTAATATGGGGACCAGCAGTTGACATAATGACTATGTTGCTGGGCTCCCATGTAGTTGACCACAGTTTGAGTCCCAGACCTGGTGGCTTAAACTCATGCCAGGTGTGTGTGCTTGCGTGCCCAAGATCCGGAGAGGAGAATGAAGGAGAAGGAATTTCGGAATGACCATCCCCCTTGGGGGGTAATTTCTCGCTTTCTGTCTCTCTGTCTTTCTGGTGAGTGCACCTGCCCTATAGCAAAAACCTCTCCCAAAAAAAGAAAAGAAAAAAACAGTGTAATACCAACATGAAGATAGACTTATAAACTGGTAGAGTAGAATTGAGATTCCAGAAGTTAACCCTCATACTTACAGTAAGTTCAATTTTTTAAAAAAATCGCCAGATGTCATATGCACTTGCAAGAGAGACAGAGAAGGAGAAGTGGAAAGGATCCTTCCAATGAAGTATGGTTACACCACAACCCCTTCTCCTCCGTTTCTTCATCCTGTCAAGATTTTTGTTTTTGTTTTTTGCCATAGGGTGCTTGGACTCACTGGTAAGTGACAGAGACAGTGAAAGAGAAAATCAGAAATCATTTCCCAGTGGGCATGGCCATGCCACAATCCCTTCTCCTCCTGGGATTTTGGACACGCCCACATGTGAACCCAGTGTGACACTCAAACCTCCAAATCCAGGACTCGAACCACAGTCAGCAATGTGGGAGTCCAGCTTTTTAACTACCACACCACCTGCTGTCTCCCATTCTGACAGATTTGGGGTACACACGCACATATGCCTAGAACGTTTTTCAAGCTTCCAGGGTTAGGACTCAAACCATGGTTGTCTATGTGAGATCCAGCTCCCTTAACTAGTAGGCTACAGGGCAAGCCCTAGTTGGCTGATATTTGACCAGAGTGTCAAGACAATTCAATGGGAGAAAGACTAGTCTTGTAATAATGCTGCTGAAACAACTATATCTCCACTTGTCCCTTTCTCACATGATATTCATAATTAACTCAAATTTAACTAAAACTTAAATTAAAAAGGGACATAAACATACAAGCTAAAAACACAAAATTCTTAAAAGAAACTGTAGGACTAAAATATTTGGTTTGGGGTTAGGCAAAACCTTCTTAGTAGGATACAAAAAGCATAGGCGATGATAAAAGAAAAATATAATTGGGCTTTAATGAATTTAAAATTGGTCTTCAAAGTACACTGTCAAAAAAAGTGAAAAGGCAACTGACAGAATAGGAGAAAATATTTGCAAATCACCTATCTTACTAGCAATGTGTGTCTATAATTTATGAAGAACACATACAATTCAATAATTAAAAGACAACTTGATTTTAAAGAAAGGGCAAGAGATCTGAATAGACATTTCTCCAGAGATCTTTCTCCAAAGAAAATACATGATTGACCAATGAGTATGTTAAAAAAAAAATGCCATCATTAGCCATCAGGCAAACACAAATGAAAACCATAATGAGATACCGTTCATATCCGTAGGATGGTTAAAAGAAAAGACAGTAACAGGTATTGACGAGGGTATGGAAAAGTCAGAACCAACCCTTTTACTGCTGCTGGGAATATTAAATGGTGCGGCTTCTTTAGATCACAGCCTGGAATTTATCCAAAATGCTGCACGTAACATTATCCCATGACCCAGAAATTATTATATAACTATTTCTTTTAGTAACAGAACCGAAAGAAATGAAAGCATATATTCCACTAAAACTGGTACATGAATGTCTATAACATTATTCATAATAACCAAAATTGTAGTAACCCTTATGTCCCTCAGCTGGTGAATTGATAAACTAAATATTGATATGTTTATACAATGGAATATTATTTGGAAATAAAAAGAGTGAATGAGCCTTGAAACCATCATGCTAATGAAAAGAAATCAGCTGTGGGGGTGGAGTGGGTCAGGAAAGATCACACATAGTATGCAATTTCTATGAAATGTACAAAGAGGTAAATATCTAAAAACAAAAAATAGGCTAGTGGTTGCCTAAGAGATGGGAGATTTGGGGAGAAATGAGGAGTGATTGCTCGTGGTTATGGTGTTTCTTCCTGGATGAAAATGTTTTTAAATTGTATTGATGTATACAATATCGATTGTATATCCACAAAGTTGTTCAACTTAAAAACGTTGGCTTAGGCACTTAAATGGGTGAATTGTTCAGTATGTGCGTTACACCTTAACAAAGGTGATCTATCCTGCAGTGACTTGTAGGATTTAAAACACTTTATTTAAAACCAAAAACAAAATCCTTATTTCCGATGTGATTTCATGCAATGCACACATTAGGAATAATATCATATATTGCAATTATTCCACAGATACAACAACAAAACCTACAAAGTGGATGCTATTGACTGGAAGCGGCGTCCCAGTGATATATTTGAAAAATCAGATGGCACCGAAATCACCTTTGTAGAATATTATAAGCAGGTATAAAATTTTGTTTCTTTAAAAATACTTAAATTGTAAAATAATTTTCTTATGTGATCTAGTTACATATACTTCTCTCATCTTACTTAGACACTTGAATATACTTATGCTACATAAATATATATATATATATATAATATGTATGTTTGTTCTATCTTTGGGAGATTATAGCTTGGCTTATATCTATTATCCATGTATTCAGCTGCCTCTATATATAGAATAATGTCATTTACTTCAAAGGGCTCCAATATAGCCTGTCTTGTCAGTCTTTAAAGTGGCCATAGTAATTTTCAAAAATAATTGCACTTTAACCATCATGCCACCTGCTGACCCTAGCCTTTTTCTTTTTTCAAATAATTACTTTATTTATTTATTTATTTATTTATTTTAATTTGACCAAAGAGGGACAGAATAAGAGAGAAAGAGAGAGAAAGTGAGAAGATGAGCTGTCCAGGACTTGAACCACAGTTGGCCATGTGGGAGTCCAGCCCCCCTAACCCCCACGCGCCCTGCCAGCCCATGTTCTTTTTTTTTTTTTTAAGATTTTTTAAATTTTAACTTTATTTTAATTTGACTGGAGAGGGGCAGAGTGAGAGAGAGCGAGAAAGTGAGAAAGCAAGCCATTAGGTCCGGTACTCATTGGCCATGTGGGAGTCCAACACCCTTAACCACCATGCCACCTAACGGCCCCCTTAGTGTTATTTGTTTCCTGCTTTCTGTCTCTCTGTCTCTCTCTGTCTCTCTGGTGAGCGCACGCGCCCTATAGCAAAAACCTCTCAAAAAAAAGAAAATTATAAATGATTCCGGAGTAATGTTTAGTGAGATCCTACTCTCTTCAGCCACATGTGCTTGTAAGATAGATAAAAGATGCTATAACAGGGCCGGCAGGTGGCATAATAGTTAAGGCTTTGTACTCCCATGTGGCTGACTGCAGTTTGAATCCCCGACCTGGAGGTTTGCTTTTTCATGGTCCTCTCATTCTGCCTCTCATTCTCTCATACTATTTCTGGTCCAATTAAAAGTAAATAAAATAAAATAAATAATTATTTTTTTAAAAAAGATGGTGTAACCCACAAGACACCGAGATTAAGAGAATTTTAAGAGTATTTTCAATGTATTCCTTTTTTTTTTTTTTTTTTTTTTTTACCATAGGGTACACACACTTGCCAGAGAGAGATGGAGGGACGTTAAGAACTCATCCCTCAGAGGGAATGGCCACGCCACGTTCCCTTCTCCTCCGTTCTCCTCTTCGGTATTTGGGCTCACCTGTACCCAGTCGGTATGATTTATAAGCCACTAGGTCTGAGACTCAAACCGTGTTTGGCCGCATAAAGTTCAGAGCCTCAACTACCACGCCACCTACTGGCCCCTCCATGCATTCTCAAACTTGGGGGAAACAATACCATGATCACGCCTTTGGGTCTTCATTCGAGATTCTAAAACATGCACTTTTGTGCCTATTTATGCGCTGTTACTAAGGTTTTGCTCACAGTCACGTCAGTCTTTCTTGCTTCTGTTGAGCAGCACTATAAAGAAGTGATCACCGACTTAGATCAGCCACTTCTGATCAGCCAGGGCAAATGGAAAATGGGTCAAAAGGACACGGACCGTGAGCCCATACTGCTGATTCCTGAGCTGTGCTACCTGACAGGTACTGTGTGTTTGTGTAGGCGCTATAGCAGAAAACTCCTCCTTAAAGTTACAGCTGTCATTATGCTTAAAAGTGCTTTATGAGGGACCCGCAGGTGGCGTGGTGGTTAAGGTGCTGGACACTCCCACATAGCCAACCATAGTTCAAGTCCTGGACACGGTGGCTTGGTTTCTCTCTCTCTCTCTCTGCCTCCCTCTCTCTGGTTAAATTAAAAGAAATTAATGGGGACCAGCAGTTGGCGTAATGGCTATGTCACTGAACTCCCATGTAGCAGACTGTGGTTCAAGTCCTGGACCCGGTGGCTTAAACTCACACCGGGCATGTGTGCGTGTGTGCCCAAGATCCCAAGAGGAGAATGGAGGAGAAGGGATTGTGGCGTAGCCATCCCCCCGGGGGGCTGATTTCTCACTTTCTGTCTTTGTCTCTTTCTGTCTTTCTAGCAAGTGCATGCGCCCCATAGCAAGAAAACCTCTCAAAAAAAGAAAGAGAATAAGTAAATTAAATTAAATTTTAAAAGGAGTGATTTTTGGAGCCAACAGGTGGCGTGGTGATTGGGGTACTAGATTCCCACATGGCTAACCACAGTTGGAATCCTAGACCTGGTGGCTTGCTTTTTCACTTTCCCTCTCTCTTTGATGAGAACCCATAGCAGGATTTAAAATAATAATAAATAAAATTTATATTTTTTTAAATTATTTTATTTCATTTTATTTATTCATTCATTTATTTTAATTTGACCAGAGAGAGAGAGAGGGAGGGAACGTGAGAAAGCAAGTCACCAGGTCTGAGACTTGAACCATGGTCAGCCATGTAGGAGTATCCAGCGCCTTAACCACCATGCCACCTGCTAGCCCCTATATACATACATACATACACACACATACACACACATATATATGTATATATATATATTTTGTTTGTTTGTTTTTTTTGAGAAGTTTTTTCTGTAGGGCACGTGCGCTCGCCAGAAAGAGAGAGACAGAGAGACAGAAAGCAAGAAATCACCCCCCTGGGGGGGATGGCCACACTGCAATCCCTTCTCCTTTCTTCTCTTGGGATCTTGGGCACACACACACACGTGCCTGGTGTGAGTTTAAGCCACCGGGTCCGGGACTCGAATTGTGGTCGACTACATGGGAGTCCAGCGACATAGCCATTACACTAACTGCTGGTCCCTATATGTATATGTGTTTTTTTTTGAAGTGCAGCTTTTTCACAGAACTCCACGTGACCCAGGGTTGTATCCTCTTAGATTGGTTCTTCTAGATACCACAGTGAAGTCTCTGTCTTTTCTTCGTCTTTTTTTATTATTTTTTTTTAATTTGCCAATGGATGTATGTACTCTCAGGGGTGGGGGAAAGAAAGTGAGAAAGCACCTCTCATGGAGAATGGTCATACCACAATCCCTTCTCTTCCATTTTTTTCTTCGTTTTGGGATTTGGGGCACACATGCATACACGCCCAGTGTGTTTTTCAAGCCACGCAATTCAAAACTTGAAGCCCCAGTCATCATATGGGACCCAGGTCCCTTACCCACCATGCCACTAGCTAGTCCCGATTAAGTCTTCTCTGGAGTAGATATATTCTTGTTTGCCCAGCTGTACTTCTTGGGGTTTTTTTTTTTAAAGGTCTAAGCAGTGAAATAAGTACAAAATACTGGGTGATGAGAGACTTGGCTGCTCATATGAGGTTGGATCCAAAAAGAAGGCAGTATGAACTAGCAAAGTTCGTCGATTCCATGCAAAAGTAAGTGCTCCTCTCTGGGTGCGTTTGTGTGTACGTGTGTATAGTGTGACGCTGAAGCAGGACCTGCAGAGATCCCTTATTGTTCAGATTTTTCTACTAGAAAATGACGATTGGGAAGAAAATGACATTTGGGGGAGTGGCACTAGTTTTTCTGTCACTAGTTTTTTTGTTTTTTGTTTTGTTAAACTTTTTTTAAAAAATAATTATTTTATTTAACTTTATTTATTTATTTGTTTTAATTTGACCAGAATAGCAGGGGAGGGGGAGAGAGACAGTGAGAAAACAATCCTCCAGGTCCAGGATTCGAACTGCTGTCGGCCCTGTGGGAGTCCAGCGCCCTGAACCACCATGCTGCCTGCCGGCCCCCTGTCATTAAACTCCTAAGAGACCAGGAAGAGGGTGGTTAAAGTGCTAGATTCCTGTGTGACCGACCACAGTTTGAGTCTTGGACCCAGTGGCTTTAAAATCACATCAATGCATGTGTATGCATGCCCAAAATCCCAAAAGGAGAAAGGAAGAGAAGGGACTGCAGTTTGACCATTCCCTCCACACACACACACCCCCAAGGAGGTGATTTCTCACTTTTCCTCTCTCTGTTGAGCTTACATGCCATGTGGCAAAAACCTTTAGAGACCAAAAGGAGAAAGATGAGGGGTCAGGAGGTAGCATAGTGGTTAAGGTGCTGGACTTCCACATGGCCGACCATGGTTCAACTCCTGGACCCAGTGGATTCAAAATCATGCCGAGCACATGTGCGTGTGTGCTTAAAACCCAGAGGATGTTGCAGAAGGTATTTCATCATGGCCGTCCAGGTGATCTCTTACTTCTTCTCTCTCTCTCTCTCTCTCTCTCTCCAGCAAGTGCACGGTCCCTATAGGCAGAATCTCTCTCTGATAAAGGGGGAGAGGTTAAGTAGAAAGTTCTAAGCGCCCACACAAATGTGAGAACAATGCCAAGGAGTGTACCTGGAGCATCTCGGTGCTGAGAGTAGTTAGTAACGAACCTCGGGTTGGAGGAAAATGGCTGTACATCTTGAAAGTGGCTCATTGCTGCTGCTTATTTTGGTTGGTTTGACTGTGTTGGAAACATTTTCTTATTTCAGAAATGAAGCCGTGCAGAAGGAGCTTCAGTTCTGGGATCTGAAATTCGACAGCAACTGCATGTACATCTCAGGAAGGGTTTACCGTGATAAAAGAGACAGCCAAAACACAAATTTGGTAAGAGGTGCAATATCGCCATGTCATAGTTGGATCAAATAAAGAGTAACACAAAAATAACTAACTCAGGGACCAGCAGTTAGCGTAATGGCTATGTCGCTGGACTCCCGTGTAGTCGATTGCGGTTCGCATCCCGGACCTGGTGGCTTAAAACTCATGCTGGGCACATATGCGTGCGTGCGTGCGTGCGTGCCCAAGATCCCAAGAGGAGAATGGAGAAGGGATTGCGGCGTGGCCATCCCCCCTGGGGGGTGATTTCTTGCTTTCTGTCTGTCTCTGTCTGTCTGGCAAGCGCATGTGCCCTATAGCAAAAAAAAATTCTCAAAAAAAAAAAAAAACTCGGTCATCCTAGGAACTATGACCGCCGCTCTCTTTCCAGGCTCTGTTTTTTGTTTTTGTTTTTGTTTTCTGGGTGAGAGAGTAAGCAGACAGTAAGAATGCATGTAAAGGGCTTGACATATAGTAACGTCTGTACTTTTGTTGTAGATGTTTGCTCTAGGGCCTGTGTGCTCACCAGGGACAGAAGGAAAGTGAGAAATTACCCCCCCAGGGGGTTAGCCACATCCCATTCTCCCCTGCTAGGATTCGGGGCATGCACGCACACACGCACACACACACACACCCTGCGTGCCCTTCAACCCTCCAGGTCCAGGACTTGAACTACTCAGCCAGTCATGTGGGATCCAGCTGTCCCAACCTCTATACCGTCCGCTGTCCCTTAATTAAAATCTCTTAACATCTACGATACAATTCCACTTTTAGGGGCCAGCAGGAGGTACAGTGGTTTGGGTGCTGGACTTCCACATGGCCGATCGTAGTTTGAGTACTTAAAAATCACGCTGGGTGTATGTATGTGTGTACGCCCAGAATGCTAACAGGAGATTGGAGGAGAAGGGATCGTGGCATGGCCATCCCCCCAAAGGGTGATTTCCCACTTTCCCTCTCTCTTTGTTTCTCTCTCTCCAAAAAGCACAAGCGCCCTGTGGGGAAAAAATTTAAAAAAAAGAATTCCATTTTTACTCATCTTAAGCAAAAAATGAATTCAGTCATTAACTAAGTGTGTGACTGTAATATTTCAATAGGAAGTAGCATAGATTGACAATGGAAAGGGCCATGGATAATGTTGATCTTCAAACAATAAAATTTTATGTGGTATCTTGTAATTGTTTCGCAGAATTATGTTGATCCACCCAAACTACTATGGACAAATGGATTATTAAAGAATAAGCTAGCTAGACCAAAGTCACTAGATCGTTGGCTATTACTCTATCCCCCTGGAGATCACAGACTAGCCAGTGACTTCATGAAAAACCTACAGAAGATCACAATTCCCATGCACATCGATGTGAAAACAGCACGTATGTAAGTAGAGCAGTTTCCTTCCAATCTGAAAACGTCGTTAGCAATCTGAACATGGAATCACTGAAATATTAAGATATAAAATCAGTTACTTTTGAGGCCAGCAGTTGACTGGCCCCAAATGGCTATGTCGCTGGACTCCCATGTAGTCGACCGCAGTTCAAGTCCTGGACCCAGTGGCTTAAACTCACGCCAGGCACATGTGTGTGTGTGCCCAAGATCCCGAGAGGAGAATGGAGGAGAAGGGATTGCGGCATGGCCATCCCCCCTTGGGGGTGATTTCTTGCTTTCTGTCTCTCTGTCTCTCTGTCTATCTTTCTGGCAAGCTCACGTGCCCTATAGCAAAAACCTCTCCAAAAAAAAAAAAAAAAATCAGTCACTTTTTTTGTCAAAACTTTAAAACTTTGGGGGCTAGCGGGTGGCATAGTGACTTACAGTGCTGGGCTCCTGCCTGGCCCACTGCGATTTGAGTCCTGGACCTGGTGACTTGGAAATCATGCCTAGTGCATGTGCATGCATGTCCAAAATCCCAGGAGGAGAAGGGATTGCAGCCATCCCCTCAGTGAGATGATTTCTCACTTCCCCTCTCACTGCTTCCCTCTGTCTCTCCAGCGAACACATGTGCCCTATGGTAAAAACCTTTAAAAACAAACAAACAAACAAAAAAACCTTTGTAAGTTTGTGAATATAGTCCAATTTCCTTCAATCAGCAAATATTAAAACAGGCTTATTGTGACCAGCAAGTGGCATAGTGATTAAGGGCACTAGACTCCCACGTGGCCAGCCACAGTTCAAGTCCCAGACCCGGTGGCTTGCCTTCGCACTTTCCCTCTCTCTCTTTCTCACTCTGTCCCTCTCTTGTCAAATTAAAATAAATACATAAATAAAGTGAAATAAAATAATTCTTAAAAAAGAAAGCACACAAGCTTATTGTACTATTTGAGAGTGTGTGCCTTTTAGAATGCATGTTGAGGAAGGCATGAGAATTGCCAACTTGAGGCAAATGGATGAGGAATTTTTTTTTGCGAGGTTTTTGCTATAGGACGTGTGCACTTACCAGAAAGACAGAGACAGAGACAGAAAGCGAGAAATCACCCCCCAGGGGGGATGATTATGCCGCAATCCCTTTTCCATTCTCCTCTTGGGATCTTGGGCATGCACGCACACGCACCCAGTGTGAGTTTAAGCCACTGGGTCCAGGACTCGAACTGCGATCAGCTACATGGGAGTCCAGTGACATAGCCATTATGCCATCTGCTGGTCCCCGGATGAGGAAATAAGAGCCAGTTTCCGGGGCCAGCAGATGGCATGGTGGTTAAGGCACTGGCCTCTCATGTGGCTGACTGTTATTGGAGTTCTGAACCCGGCAGCTTGAAATTCACACCAGGCTTGTGTGTGTGCATGTCCCAAATCCTGCGAGGAGACTGGATGAGAAGGATTACAGTGTGGCCATCCCCGTGGGGGCTGATTTCTCACTTTTCTTCTCCCTGTCTCTGTCTGGCAAGCACACACCGCCATGGCAAAAACTAAACAAAACGAAACAAAAACTAGCTCTATTTTTTTGGTTTTGGTTTCTGGTTTTTGCCGTAGGATGCATGTACTCGTCAGAGAGAAACAGAGAGAAACCAGCCCCCAAGGGAAATGGCCTTGCCACAATCCCTTCTCTTCCATTTTCCTCTCAGGATTTTGGACACGTATACACGCCCACATACCCAGCGTGATTTTCAAGCTGCCGGGCCTGGTATTTGAACTGCACATTTGACCATGTAGGAGGTCAGCACCTTAACCTCCAGGACTTCCAGCCTCCTAAGTGGTGGCACATGCCCAACTACGAGGTTTGAATCTCGAACACGGCAGCTTGAGAAACATGCCAGATACGCATGTGTGCGTCCAAAACCCTGGAAGGAAGAGCGATGGAGGAGAAGGGACTGCGGCACGACCATTCCCCATGGGGGGGGGGTGCTTTCTTGCTTTCTCTTTCTCTAACAATTGCATATGCCCACTAACAAAAGTTTTCAAAAAGACAAAAGAATTATCATTCATTTTTTTAAAGAATTATTTTATTTAACTTTATTTATTTATTTATTTTAATCTGACCAGAGGGACGGGGGGTGGGGTGGGGTGGGAGGGTGAGTGAGGAAGCAAGTTGCTAGGTCCAGGACTTGAACTGCAGTCAGCCATGTGAGAATTCAGTGCCCCCAGCCGCCACACCACCTGCTGACCCCAAGACAAAAGAAGTATTATGTCCTTATTTGTGAATTCCATACTGCGACCAGTAAATCCATTATGTTGCAGACAGTACTGTCAATGTCCAAGATTTTAGTCCATCTCTCCAAATGAAATGACTGAACTCAGCAACCCCAGGGGGCATGGCCACACCACAAAAGGGGGAA